TCGTTCTAAAAATGAATTGAGTTTGAAGTATTTACAGCGACAGCAGAACGTATATATATGTCTTATACATAAAGCTGAATGACTGTTTGTCTGTGTGTATGTCTGTGTGTACGTATGTTCCAGTGGCGAACCGAGGGGGGGGGGGCGCCCCCAACCCCGAGAATAGGTCGCGAAATTTTTGAAAGTTGCTTACATGAGTCACAAAAATGTGCAAAAGACTTATTTATACTTGTAAGTAAATAAAATATTTTTTTGAAAATTTTCAAAAATTCAATTTAGCTTTATAAAAAAAATTTTTTTTGGTGGGTGGCTAACGTCACGCACCTTCATCAGAAAAATTTTTTTGTCCCCCCCCCCCTTTTCCCGAGCCGAAACCCTGGATACGCCACTGGTATGTTCCGAATAGAAAATTCCATTTCCGAACCGATTCGGACCAAACTTGGCATATAGTCGTCCTCACCCCACTAGTCGGGCGATGGACGAATTCGAATTCGAACTCGAGCAGGCAAATCGCGGCAGAGCACAGCACTTTAGCTCTCTGTTCAAATTCATACATTCACTTTGCGTTTTTCTTCGCCATTGCTTAAAAGTTTTTGTGTGGTTACAAAGTTTTTGACCTATATTGAGTTTTGTAATTGCTGAGCGTTGTGTCCTCTCGCTATGCTGGTATTTCGTGAGCTTTTGGAAACGATGCAGATGGCAAATTTGGAGCATATAATCCACTGGAGCAACACTTCTGCATATGTTACTTACTAAGAAAGAGACTACAGCATAAGTTCACCATATGTATCGTTTCTCCACACTTACCTCCAATCAGAGTTGAAGAAACGAGTTTAGAAACACGAAACAACTTCCGACAACAACAAAATTGTCACTTTCTACAAACATACTTGTAGTTCAGACACTAGCAAGTAACGACCAATAAACAAACGATAAGGAAACACGCAAAATTATACGGGGGGGGGGGGCTCAGATGCCGCGCTCTGCCGCAACAGGCCTGCTTCAGTTCAAATTTGAATTTGTCCACCGACCGACTAGTGGGGTGAGGACGACTATACATACACTTCGGGGCGGGGTGGGTGTCGCAGGCTACTTTTCGTCATCGATCGATATCGACTTTATCGATTTCGATTCTTTGCAGTGTTCACCTACGGGGCTGGGAGTTAGCACAGGGGGTAATGGAGCATGCTGATTACGAATACAACATTGGTTTTTGAACTTATCCATTACTCTGATCGATTTTATCGATTTTTTTGCAGAGTTCACCTACGGGGCTGTTGGCACAGGAACGCCCATAATCGGCCGCTGAACTGGTGGGGGAACTGAGCCGCGCTTCAGGTGCCAATCGATTGGAGCACGTTATCCTTCCCGCACTTAGAGTATCTGGACACGTAGCAGTTTTTCATAGTAACTCTCCTCATTGTCTGTATTGTTTTGCGGCAACGATACAGCACAATGAAGTTGATGACTAACTAATCTCGGAATGTGCACATTGTTGCGGCTTCAACTTCCACTGAGAACGAGTTATGGCTTGCAGTCTGCGCACTTTTTGCAAAGCTTCAGCACATTCACTAGTTCAAGAGGCTGTCCCGTCAGCAACCTAACACAATGTGACTTGTGACATAGAGTCATGTATCTGTCCTTTCTCCCACCTCTTATCACTGGTTCTGAAAAGCATTGTCCCGAGCTTTTGTGCTCACCTGGGCCTATTCGCCACACCGAATCCGAAAAGCAGTAGAATGCTGAGATGGCAGGCGTGGCACATGAATCTAGCACAATTCTGGTCTGTAACGATACTCATATCACAGCAGTGAAGCTTATGGTACGGTTTACGGTACTTTGGCAGAATGTGATAATGAGGATGCGCCCACTACGTCGACGCACATGTGAATATGTAGGTCAACGCGTGTTAATAATTGAAAAGTTTGATGAGTACAGAATAAGATCTTCATGTTTACTGCGCACCTGGTATGAATCGAACACAGATATCAAAAATCTAGAGATCCGACAAAATGAAATGAAATGAACCAGTCCTTTGAACAGATACTGAACAAACCAACAACTTCAAAAATATCCTAGAATGTGAGTACGTGCAAAAAACAAGGTTTATGCAAAGTCTTCGTCTATGTAGTTGTAAGGATTTTCTTTTTCTTCTCCAGTTTTAAGTGCGCCCTCTAAAAAGGACAATGTGGCTATAAAATAAATGGTCATCTGTTTCAAAACTTACACTTTTATACTGCGGCTGTACACGAGACGGCGCGGGACCAGCCCCGGTGGTCTGCATCACTGCCCTCCTCACGAAACGCTTTTCAAGCGCTTCTTGGGGCATTTCTCCCAGCCTGTTCTTCATGAATTCGTTCATCTGGTTTATCAGATCAAGACGGTTTGATTTTGCGTACGCCTTTGCCAACTCTCGCAAATTGATTTTTTAGCCGTAAAACACTATTTATATAAAGGAAAGCAGAAGAAAGCCTCAAGCGACAAATTTTAACTGTTCCTTACCCCTTCTGCTTCTTGCAGCGCTTCTTTAATTTTATCGCATTCTTCTACTGCCGGTGCCGGGTAGAAGAAGTTTGAATGAATTTCGGTCGCCACAGCATTATTGTTCTCATTGTTGTTGTTAATCTCTCTCAGCGGTTCTCTCACAGCTGGTAAGGCGGGTAAGTGCTGTCTTAGACCCTGTGAGCGAGCTGAAACCAAATTTGTTCTGATACATTGCGCTCCGGTTTTGAAGACCCATCTCCAAAGGTTTTCACAGCATGGGCATGAACGCAGGACCCTGCTTGCGACGCGTCGTAACAGTTGCAGTGGACCATGTAAGAACAGACGTCGCACCGCTCACAATGCGAATTCATCTAAAGCGGTCTTTTTTGTATAAGGAAAGTTACAACATAAAGTTGACTTACGCCATCTCGCAGCTGCAATCAAAGTCGTCTATAGTTACTTGAAATATGCTTCCTCTTCGAGGTCCGCGTACGGTCCAGCAGTATTCATCTTTTTGCTCAATGGTATCCTAAACCAGTAGTTCCACGACTACAATAAGTGGCACAGTCTTACCGTTGCGTGTGTAATAGCTTAGTGCGTCCTTGTGTCGATGTGTATTTCTTTTCCGTCTTCCTGAGAGATCAGAGCCTCTCCTGACGCCCTAAAAAATCCGTAGAGTCAATCACGCCAATAAAATGCGCCAAAACTCAGTGGAACTCACGGTAGATATTAGCTGAAGATTGTGATCTTGAGAATATTCGATAAGGGTATACACGAAGACATCCAGCCTATTGTTTTGCTTGCTTCGGAGCAAGAAATGTTTCAGTTTATTATGCCAGGATTCGGCATGCTTAGTAGTCTTAAACGGTGCATTAGGACGATAACACACCGCCCATTCGTGTCGCCTTTGAGAGTAACTTCTTTCGATATACTAAAAGAAGTCTGTTGACAGGTATAGATACTATCGCTGAAGAAACTTACGATAGTCATTTCTACAGCCTCTATGGACGTAAGCCTTGAGATATAAGCGTGGAAGTTTTCCTCAAATTTTCGAGGTACCTCCCCGAGAAGTGCGTTGAACATATTAGGTTGTCCCGAAAGTTTTATCGGTTTTTTTCATCGCTCACCAAAACTCACAGAACACCAGTCCATGGACGATTCAGGTACCATTCTATTCGGATTTTTATCCCCTTTCTTACTGTCATATTTGCTCTCTAATCTACCCCGTCTTTGCGATGTTATCGTCATGGCTTTTTGAGCACCTCAGCAATAGCGCTAAATCTTCCCTAAGTTTTAAAAAATTTTATCCTGATATTTTCGAAGAGCGCTGGTAACTCTTATGTAGAGCAAACCTTTGGCTACATTGCACTTATTTTAGATTACGTGGACCACGTTTATCAAGTCCGTAATAATTATCTATTTGAGAAAAACCTCTGATTTTTGAATAGGTTTACCAAGTAAGATTACAGAAAATTCCAAAAAGCTGATTTTTGAAGCAAAGCAAACTTGTTATGTTGCATAAATAATGCTTAATGACAATTGAGTTTCAATTCGCAGAAATTGTAAAAGGTTTCATGTTTTTGCTGCAGTTGCGTGTTTCATGACTTTGTCATAAATCAAGACCTCCAAATAAAAATATTTTTGAAGTTAAGAATAGCAGATTGGGAGGATTTAAAAACAAAGCCTTGTAGTCCGAGAATTTCTCTATTCAATGCATACTTAATCCTTTGCGAAACTTTGAAAAGAAATTTTTAAAAATCAGCCTAACTTTGAGCAGATAAAAATGGCGGGTGAAGAATTGTGGCAATTATCATAAAAAGCATGCAGGACTGTGGTTCGAAAATGTAACAGTAAGAAAGAGAAGGGAAAGGTGCATCGAATGCACCATAAAACTCATTCAGATTTTTACTATGCGTGATTTTATAGCGATTTGAAGAAACCGACAAAACTTTCGGGACAACCTAATATGTTGCGCAACGGCGACATCGGGAGACTATGAGGAAAAGCTGCTAAGTGAAATGGCATTCTTACAAGCACTAGAGGACTTACTGATAGCAATTCCTTATGTTTTCGTAGAAATGCTTTACTAACGTGGAATGCACATAGGACTTTCTGTGTTCGGCTCTCGTGAAACACTGACTTGAAAGCGTTGTAAAACGTGAGTGTATCATCGGTCATTAAAAAATCGCTGTCAAAGTGTGGGATGCAAGTCTGAACATTTGTAGTGGGATTCGTATACCTTGCCATCAGTTACCTTTATTAATTTGAAGAGTTCTTCAACTTCTTCACAACTCATCCGAAACGAAATCAAATGTCTGCATGGGAAACCGTTCACGGCATTTCACATACTAAGACTGTAGCCATACGAAAAGAGTATGGTGATGTTATACGTGTCGTCAATCACTAGGCCATTTTTGCCGTATTTTTCCAAATATGCTTTGCCTTTCTTAGTAACAAATGCTGCAAAACAGAGGTATTCAAAGTCACGCTAAGGTCCTGACTTGTTTACTACTCACCTAGTAGAAATCCGTCCCGCTGAGGTTGTTTGTTTCAATGAGTTTCGAAGCTGCAATATCATCCTCGTTTTCCACAAGGGTTTTGACCGACGTTCTGTCGTCGCAGGTGTTTCCTTTTATTAAATGGTGGCGTTCGGCAATGTTACTAAAAAGAATGGAACAGCTAGAGAACTAACGGCGATACACTTATATAAACTGACCTAATGTCTGTAGTTGTCAAATAACACAATCGCATTTGCCTTTCGGGGTCCTGCCGTGAATTCCAGTTCTCTCTACGCAATTTCGACACTATCTAAACAAATAAGTAACATGTAAAGCCAATTCAAAGCCCAGATTTTCCTACTGTTCGCGCCGGCACTTCTGCCTCGATCAGATTTTTGACCACACCTTCATCCTCATTTGATAAGGGCAGAGCTGCCATGCTTATTGCATGGCCATAGTGTCCAAAGCACGCAGTGACATGCACCGTGCCAAGCCCGTTCAAATGAGCCTAAAGAAAATCTTCTCTATTCAGCCTGGGGCACAGAGTTTACGACCTTGACGAAGCAGGGGCAGTGCTTCTTGATTCTTTTGTGCTGCATGTACCTCTGCTTGAATTCCTCAGGATCGATATCCTCGCCCTTCCCTCGTGCTTGATGACAGAGGTAAACATATGTATTTCCGGAACTGCTCTTTCGTACGTAGCATCTGACGACTTTGGAACATGTTTCGTTCTCTTTCTTCTTTAGCCATTCCTAGAAAACTGGCATACTTGCAACCTCACTTTACGAATGACTATATATTGCTCACCTCAAATAAACCAAAAGCTTCGAAAGTGTTTGACACCACAAGGAGGGATAGGATCTTCGCTTTTATGATGTCCTTCACAATGTCGGGCATAATCCAAATTTGACTGAAAGTTTGCGGCACATCCTGGGCAGTTGATCATAGTTCTTTCATGAGTCATCTCCGCGGTGTTTCGTGCACGAAGTGAAACGGTCGTGAATAATTCGGAGACATACTCAGTATGTAAAGCTCATGCTCTTAGCTAGGCACCAGGGACGCCTGCAAGCATACGAGTTCCAACAGCCACTCAAGTTTTGATAACGCAAAACTTTATATTACCTTTTTATGCATCCTTAGACCTCTACTGGAGAAATATGGCTTTTCACAAATGTCGCAGAGTATTTCGTCTCCATAAACGGCTCGCTTGACAGCAAGTTTCACTTGTTCTATTTCCTTTTCAGTGGAGCTGTGTAATTGACGAAGATGTTAATATAGATTATTCAAAACCATTGGTCCTTTCTTGCAGATATGGCAAGGCACTTTCGTTCTCATTTCTAAAAAAGTCGTGAATGACTGACAGCTAGAATAATAAGCATTCAAAACTCAAAAACGACGGGTCAGAAGCATGGTAAAAAAACTATCTGAAAACATGATGTAAGCCTTGCAACAGCGACGATTCTACAACGCTACAGTACAACTGTCCCTTCTTGTTCCTGCTGTGCTGTCCAGTGACATATCAAGGTTGCTGCACCAAGTAGTATCTAGATCAGCATATGTCCTCCGAGGGACATTTAAACAGTAGACAATTATCTGCTGTTTTAATGAGAGAAACGGCTTACCTTGTGAAAATGCTATTGCAGATAGAAATTGCGAAAGAGTGACATGCCGAGCCAAATGCCAAATCCACTGCAAATCACATTTCTTTAAAATAACGGTCATAAGACGATAAGAAGATGTACGACGCAAGACGTATTTGTAAAATACTAGTGGCCCAGTGATTACTTTGTGTAAAACCATGTAAACGCGAACCACTGAGGTATCTATTAATTATTATTTTATTAATAAATCAAGGTGAAAATAGTGCAAGAAGTTTACAGGTCAGGAATGCCGTGTTTATTACCAGAGCAATAACACAAAAAAGTCAACGGTAAATGTATCTCACATATCTCACAGGACTTCAAAAATAGAAGTCCTGTGAGATATGAATGTGCATGCTTTGACGAGATCCGTAATTGCGAGATAAGTTGAAGTTGAGCAGTGGGCAACTCATTGTAAACATTTCCCACCAAACGTGTCTCTGGCGTGGTTGGTATGGTTCGTAGTGCATTCTCTTCCTTTCAAAACGACGAGGAACTCTAAAGTTGTAAACTATTCGGAAAAGGCATGTCGCAAACTCAATCACCTGCGTGAGTAATCTCTCTATATTTAGGACCATATTGACGGTCAGGTCGCAAATACGTATGCGCATGCCTATCATGGCTCCACTCGCGAGCATCTTTGAACTGCTGTGGACGTACCTTGCGAAACTTGCAAAAAATGCTACATCCAAACTAGATAAATGTTGATACTTAAATAATATCCTAGTTTTTTTTAAATAAAAAGTGCTTACCACTAGTTCGGGTCGTGGGCGACGCGGCTTGAAAACGTTTCCTACGAAATGCTCGCCGACTTGCTTTGTGATTCCTTTGAACTAAAGAAATCTGTTTAAATTTCAAAGTATAATTTTTTTATACATTACGTGCCTTCAGTATGCAATCTCTCTTTTTGTTCTTACCATCCTGTTGCGTTCTTTTATTTAAATCTATGATTTCATCTAAGGAAAGATTCACTTGATCATTTTCCACCATCCAAAGTAATCGTATTGAATAACCTGGTTGAAGTCTACAAAAAAAAGCACAGCTGCAAAGAGACAGACACTGATCTTTGGCAGAAATATAAGATTGAGCATTTTTGTAACAAAAAATCAGTTTTTACAGTAAATAAACAAACTCGTTAGAGTATACACAGCAAACAAACTAAACGATAGTTCGTAACCTTGATCAAGGATAAAAATCTTTGCATTGCAAATATCGATAACCGTATCCCACTGACTACCAGCCTGCCGCGGCGTCGCCTGCGTTATTGGCACTCACAAGTGGCGATACGCACCCTGCAAACTGCTTTGAGGAATTTTCCTCACCTAGGAAAAGTTACGCGGAAAGTTCAATTGGAGGGGTCTGCCAGTTCTGGGGTTTCCCGTTCAATAACATGTTTTTGACGTGGTTTCTGTACCGAATTCCTCCTTGAAAATGGCGATGAGCTTTGAAGTTGCACGTTGACTGTACAAGGACGTCACAGCAATCTCATTCACCTGCACGAGTAATCCCTTGGTAATTACAGCCATAGTATTCGCGAAGTGGTCGAAAGCGCAGCGGGTCTGTTGAAATTGCTGGCCATGTGGTGATGACCTCCTCTCTGTTGATTGCGAAAATTCAGACTTATTCAAACTAATCGAAGATATTAGTTCTTAGATAGACCGTTTTACAGTTTTCCCTAACGAGGGAAGGCTAAGCTAAAATTTAGATAACGGTTATAAGATAGATAGTTAAGATAACGTAGTATATATAAAGATAAGGTTATAAGACGATAAGACGATATACGACGTAAGACGTATTTATAAAATATAAGATTTCAATAAGACTGTGGAGTCGGCTACCGCTAGTGCATGGAAACATAAAAATGAGCGCGACCGCGCAAGGATTCCCTTTGATTTAACCTGTACTAACAGGTAAACTTACCAAACGTGTCATAGCTTCTATTCGATTCCTGTTTTCCACTTGTCAGCAGACGTCCGGTTAAACCCAAACGACTCACAAATCCGATCGATTGAACCTTTTTGTCCCGAGTTGAACCCTGTCCCGATACATATCGGAACAATAGCGGCCAATTTGCCGGTGGAGTCGGGTCAACGCCAAGACAAAATTTTGTCCCGAAACAAAACGAAAGTGGACGAATTTCCCGCGTCAACGGCGAATGTCTGAGATGTTGCCACACTGCACATACTCACACACTAAGAAGCTTTTGCAGAGTAGATCTTTGTTGCTTTATAATATCTACAGCCACTCACACTATAGTTTGAAGGAAGCACTGCCCTTGACTAGTTATAGCGGGTATTATAAAAAAAACTGATCTGTAATTCTCCACAATCCAATATTTTGAGAAAAGCTGCCCTACAGGGCCGCTTACATATAGGGTGCTTGAAAAGTTCGTCCCTAAAGTACTTCCAATTCGGATTTTGACGCGCTTTGTTCATCAGACTTAAATACCATTATTTCAGTGAAATCAAGTTTCTTCGCGGTTTCTTTGATTTTTTATTAGATTGAAATACATCAGTATAACTTTCCAAACCTCTTTCCTTAAAACACTTGTTACAAAAAAGGAAACATAATTCACAAAAAACCTGGTACACCTGCTGAAAGCCCTTTTTTAGGGTTTCTTAAGGGTGCTTTTACTTCCGTAGAAGTGGGTTCGTTTTGAAATATCCTGCCTTGAAAGACAAGAGATCCATTTTCAGGATTCTTTCTCCAAAAGTGCAGCACCGCAATTTTTATATTTTATCTTCGAAACCTTCGCAAGTTTTTGAAAAATTTGAAATTTTTGAAAACAAGTATAACGAAGGTCAGAGAGTTGTGCTACAAATACATGTTGAAATAAGACTCCAAAATTTTTCAAACTGAAGAAATTTCAACCTAAGCTGGTGCCGCGACTGTCTGCTGTGATTCAGCGCATAGAAAAATCTTCGTTAGCAAGCTGCTGAAAAACTTTTGTTGTATAAAGGAAGTGTAAATCTAGGACTATTTGTAGTAAAAAAATCAAATGCTGTTTCTCTTTTCCGGCGTTGAAAAAAAGAATAAATCAAATAACGCACTCTCCAAAGAAGCTGAAAAAATTGTTTACTTCCAAATTTTTTAGGGTATCTTGAAGCAAAAATATATTTCTCTGTTGATTCATTGGTTTCTGGGGTTGGCGAACACAAATACCAAAAATCGGGTTAGCGTTCGCAGTTGAAGTGCTTAAGGACACGAACTTTTCAAACACGCAGTACCATTGTTTATCGAGTTATAACAGTTCTATGCGCCGCCTATATAATAGACTGAATTTGCAGTAGTAACCATTCCACAAACCTCTGCAAAACGACATCAAAAAGGTGTCACGCCCACAGACCAATATTTCAAAGCACTGCCCCATGAGCCGCACTGACCTACGAGCCCTTACAAACCGAAACTTTGAGCAAAAAACAAGAAGACAAACATAGGCCACGGCCAGTTACAGACCGATAATTTGTTATGAAGTATAGATTTTGTTTTGTCTCAATTTCTGTAACTTTAGTGAAACCTGTAACTCTTCCCTCGAAACTAAATGCAAAGAGAAAATCAGTCAAATTTTGAAACCGATTACAGTCACTAACAAACTCGTACGAAAATGGGAAAGGAATGAGCTGATAGTATCTCCAAAATCACCATTCATTATAGTAAAAAAATTGAGAACCTGTCCAGATAACATTTCGAAATCGCTAAATCACAAGAGCTGGCAAAAAGATTGAAATCGAACGCACATTTCGAAATTAATCACAACCACAATCAACTCGCGAAAAAAGTGGGAAGGAGGGGAGGGAAGGGGTACGGAGCTGTCAGCAACCGTACGAACCGTACAGAATCGTCTAAAGCTCGTCATCACCCGAGTTAATATTTCGAGTAATGAAGAGTACGATACAAAAGAGACTGACAAACAACTGTCGAGGGAGTGCAAAATAGAGACTGACATAAATCAATGCCGAAGTAGGAACCAGCCGTCTACCCATAACAAGACGCGAAGTCAGTCAAACCAGACATGTGAAAGAGGGGAGTGGGACTGTTAGCAACCTTAGCAACCCAACGAGTGTTCGGCATCTTCGAGACTATAAACCTTTCTGCGCTTACTAGACGCACCCCTTTCCGAACCACTCTCGAGAAGGAACGATGCTTACCCTACGAAAACACGCTAGTCTTGTTGATAAATATTTTTCTCACACCCAACGCAATCACTCGCCTCATTTTGCAACTTGTCAACATGTAAGTGTGAACTCTTGCCACTCT